CATTTTTTTTTAGTTTTTTTTCTAGAAATATCAATAAAATTTTATTTGTTGGTTGCGAAAGCTTGAAAATTTAATAGAAGGCTCCTAATATGTTGTTTCAAAGGCAGATGAAAAATATTAAAAATCCTTAGTCACAATTTTTTTTTATAAGCATTTAAAGTTCAAAAATTGACAAAATATGGAAAAATCACGAAAATTAGCAAATTATTTTGAGTTAAGAATTCGTAAAAATTTTTCTTTTTAAATCTAAGATTTGAAAATGAAACACAAGATTCCTTATAAGATTATCTACCTTTATCAATAAAAAAATCTCTACCGGACAGTCAAATTAAATTTTTATGAGCGTTTGAAATTCAAATTTTTACAACATTGGATTTTCACTCGATTTCTCATGTAGCGATTTCCTTATTTTGTTGTAATTCAAAAACGAATAACTGTAGATACATGAAAATTTCACTGAATGTTTATATTAGCATTTCCTATACACCATACAATTTTGAAAAGATTTTGACTCTTTTTGAGCTGTTTACGGACATTTTCAGTTTTCAATTTTTTTAGTTTTTTTTTTTATAATTGTCAATAAAATTTTATTTGGTGGGCCAAAAAGTCTGAAAATTTAATACAAGCTTTCTTATATATTGTTACAATATCAGTTGAAAAATTTTAAAAATACATAGGCCCGATTTTTTTTATAAGCATTTAAAGTTGGAATTTTGACAAAATTTATCAAAATCTCGAAAATTATCAATCGTTGGATTTAAAAAATTATAAAATGTTCAGTTTTTATAACTAAGAGTTGAAAATTTAAAACAAAGATTCTCTTAAATAATTCATACTGTAACCAAAAAATCTAAAAAATATATAAACACACTTATTTTTTACAGACATTTTAATTTCAAATTTAAACCAAGAATTACGATTTTAGTTATTTTGTTGTGATTGAATAATACTATTCGTGGGTACTTGAAACTTCTAAAGTGTACTATTATATATCTATGATAGTATCACGGTTTTTGTTGATGTATAACGCGTTATAAGTATCTAATGGATATTGTGATATGATTAATTTGGAATTTATTATAGGTACCTATTATAGGTCAATTTTTTGTTTAATACCATAGATATGTATATAATATGCCTTATACATAGACTGACATACCATCACCGCTCAGAATCATTTTTCTTATACAATGATATTATATCATTGAATTCAAATTTAATACCATCCATTATACAGTGACCCACTTGTAACCTACTGTACAGCAGAGCGACACCCACTTGCCCACCTTTTTTTTTATATTTTTATTTATATTTTTGTGTCTGTCATCACGTTTTAGGACAGTAAAAATGCTTGGATTTTCTTCATCAGTAGCTTTTCTGGTAGGAAAGTGAATCTAGTTGGTACTTTGGGGGGTCAAAAGTATACATTTCCCAGTAGTTTTCACAAGCGCCGGGAAAAACAACATAAAAATTAAGGAAAAACAGGAATTTTTACGCAAAATTGGTTTTCCAAAAAATCGATTTTGGTTATTGGTGTAACTCTAAAACAAATGAACGTATATACATGAAATTTTTACTGGTTGTTTATATTTGCATTTTCTATACACGATAACATTTTCAAAATATTTTGATTTATTTTGAACTGTTTAGGGACATTTTCATTTTCCATTTTTTTTTAGTTTTTTTTCTAAAAATATCAATAAAATTTTATTTATTGGTTGCGAAAGCTTGAAAATTTAATAGAAGGTTCCTAATATGTTTTTTAAAAGGCAGATGAAAAATATTAAAAATCCTTAGTCACAATTTTTTTTTATAAGCATTTAAAGTTCAAAAATTGACAAAATATGGAAAAATCACGAAAATTAGCAAATTATTTTGAGTTAAGAATTCGTAAAAATTTTTCTATTTAAATCTAAGATTTGAAAATGAAACACAAGATTCCTTATAAGATTATCTACCTTTATCAATAAAAAAATCTCTACCGGACAGTCAAATTAAATTTTTATGAGCGTTTGAAATTCAAATTTTTACAACATTGGATTTTCACTCGATTACTCATGTAGCGATTTCCTTATTTTGTTGCAATTCAAAAACGAACAACTGTAGATACATGAAAATTTCACTGAATGTTTAAATTAGCATTTTCTATACACCATACAATTTTGAAAATAATTTGACTCTTTTTGAGCTGTTTATGGACATTTACAGCTTTCAATTTTTTTTAGTTTTTTTTTCTATAAATATCAATTAAGGTGTATCTGTTGGGCCAAAAAGTGTAAAAATTTAATACAAGGCTCCTGATATATTGTTACAATATCAGTTGAAAAATATTAAAAATACATAGGCATGATTTTTTTTTATAAGCATTTAAAGTTGGAATTTTGACAAAATTTATCAAAATCTCGAAAATTATCAATCGTTGGAATTAAAAAATTATAAAATGTTCAGTTTTTATAACTAAGAGTTGAAAATTTAAAACAAAGATTCTCTTAAATAATTCATACTGTAACCAAAAAATCTAAAAAATATATAAACACACTTATTTTTTACAGACATTTTAATTTCAAATTTAGACAAAATTTCATATTTAAACCAAGAATTACGATTTTAGTTATTTTGTTTTGATTGAATAATATTATTCGTGGGTACTTGAAACTTCTAAAGTGTACTATTATATATCTATGATAGTATCACGGTTTTTGTTGATGTATAACGCGTTATAAGTATCTAATGGATATTGTGATATGATTAGTTTGTAATTTATTATAGGTACCTATAATAGGTCAATTTTTTGTTTAATACCAATATACCATAGATATGTATATAATATGTCTTATACATAGACTGACATACCGTCACCGCTCAGAATCGTTTTTCTTATACAATGATATTATATCATTGAATTCAAATTTAATACCATCCATTATACAGTGACCCACTTGTAACCTACTGTACAGCAGAGCGACACCCACTTGCCCACCTTTTTTTATTTTGGTGCTGATGGGCGGAAAATCCGGAATTAGTTCCGATTTCAAAATAAAGTGTACGAATTGATTCCCTACATAAAAATAAAGTACCATCAGAAACTTTTCGAATTTGTTCTCATATACATGAAAATAGGTATAATATTATTACGATCTGAAGTGTGTGATTTTCCATTAAAATGTGTGCAGAATTTGTATCTACTTCAGAATGATAGCTACATTTCGCGAATCGTTTGACGAAAAACTTAATTCAAAATAATCTTGTTCCACCATTCCAAATATTATTTTATTAATCGAAAAACAGGTTAGAACATGCCTAAAACTAAAAAGTGTACTTACCTTAAAGTTCACTTTGATTACCTAGTAATACCTTTTTGTCTTTTGTTGTAGTTTAAAATGTATAAAGATTTGACATAGAGACTTGACCGGCGCAATTGAATTGGCTCCCCAGTACAGGTAGTCAATATTTTACCCTTTTGAATTGGCTCCCGAGAATTTACTATTGAATTGGCTCCCTACTGTTTTTTTTCAAAAATATATTGGTTACAAAAATGTTGTTTATATTTTAAAGTTAGACGTTATTTCCTAGAGTAGTTGACGTCAATTCTTAATTTACCTAGCACAGATAATACAGATAATACAGATAAAGTATTCAATAAAATTAATATACAGCTGTTTGAATAATAATTAAATGTATATTATATAAATACAAAATTGAATAATAATTGGAAAAAAAATAATATTCAATTATTATGCATACAATTATTAATTACATACTCATTGCTTGTATCATGCTTTCTAAGCGCGTCATTATAAAATTGGGGTTATACATTTATTTAAAAATTAAGAACAGATAATATTATACACAATCAAATAAAAAATATGTCTGACTATTTTTTGTGGTCTACAATTATTTATCGTCATTATAAACTTTATGTTATATACCTACTTATATATTTATTTAAAAATTAAGAACAGATAATATTATACACAATCAAATAAAAAAATATGAACAGAACAGATAAATTATTGCTTTCTAAGCGCGTCATTATAAAATTTATGTTATATACATTTAATTAAAAATTAAAAACAGACAAAATTATAGAAAATAAAATAAAAAAAATATGTTAGACTATTTTTCGTGGTCCATACTTCGCTAATATTCGCTAATATTTTTATGTATTGAAACCTTGTATGTACACCAGTATCATATTTTTGAATTTCATCTTCTAAAAATTGTATTTTATCTCTAATTTCTTTCCGGTGTGGTTTTGTTATATTGGAACTTCTTATAATAATTTTTGTATCAGATTGAATACTATATAATACATTTAGAAAGTTGAATATATTTGGATGTGGAGAATAAAATTGCGAATTGAATTTGGAATGAAACGATTCGCACGAGTTAGTTGTACGATAAATACTATTGCTTTTTTCTGCCCAAATTTCTGGTGGAAATGTTGAATCATTGTCAATATAATTTTCTACTAAATAATCATTAAATTTTGTAAGTTTTTGATTCATAGGCTGTATTTCAGCTAATTCGTCGGAAAAACAATCCCCGACTGATTGTGGATCTAGGAATGGCAATCCAAATATATACTTTAAATATTGACCTATTTCTGTATTTTGTACGTACTCCGATGAAAGTCCAAACTTTTTTATTGTCCTATACCAAGATTGTCCAAGGTGAAAACGACAACCACGAACTTTAGTCAATGGCCAAACATAATTTATTGCATTATGTATTGCTATTTCAAAGCAGGGGCGTCATTTGGGGGATTCAGGCTATACATTGGCAGCCCTATTTTTTTAAATGTTTGGTTGGCCCGTATAAAATGTTATAATTGCGCCGTCGCGCGTCGCGTCGTCGATAAAATGTAAGATGCAAACGCGCTGTAATGGAGAGTGGAGACCTATTGTCCTATTGAAGTATTGAATACATCTATTCTATCTAACAAAAATTTTAAAGATTATTTTGTAACTTCAACACTTGGAAAGTCTAATTCAAAAGGTATGAGGGCAGTTCCAACACTTAAAGCTGAAGTTTTATATTCCATTATTGACAGGTATTTATGCATTGTCATATTATGTATTATTATTCATTGAAATTGCCAAGTTGATAATACTTTAAATTATATATATTTCTTTTATTTATTTAATAATTAGGTAGTTCATACATTTTTTAAATATTTATATATTTTGTAATAACTAGTCTATAAGCTTTGAATGTATGGCTTTAATTTAACGCTTGTTAACAATTTCAGATTTGTACAACAATTAGAAACTCGCTTTTCTGAGAAAAACCAAGAATTATTTAAGATATTTCAGATTTTCGACTATACAAGCTTATATTATTTCAATCCAAAGTGTCCATCTTTAGAGTTCTTCATAGATCATTATAAATATTTTGAAATTAATAAAATAAAAGTCAAATCAGAATTTTCATCTGCTAAAGCTTTGCTTGAACATAAACATATTTTAAGACCGGACTTAGAAATGATTGTAGATGTTCTCATTGAACTTCCTAGACCCTAGTTCATTTTCAGAAACTTTAAAACTAATGGATATCATTAAAACTCTTCCAATATCTACAGCATCTAATAAACGCTTTTTTTCTTCTATGAAAAATGTAAAATCTTATATACGTACTTTTCTATAGGTGAAGAGTGACTCAGTGATCTCATGATAATAAACGTTGAAAAGGACGAGGCCAATAAAATAGATTTAAATAAAGCTGTGGATGATTTTGGGAAAATGAAGAATAGGAGATATCCACTTTTTTAATAACTTTTAGTACTTTTACTGTTATACCTACCTATTTACTTAGTTAAAGTACATAATTAGTTTTTGTATTTCTTTTTATGTTATTGTTTAATACAAATATTATTAAATATATCTTTTTTTATTTATATGAAATTGGTTAAATATGTTTGAAAAAAAAGTATTAATGAGTATTTGAATATTAAAATGTGGGGATATGAGTGAGCGAAGCGATCGGAAATTTTTTTAAGTTCCGCTAAATAAACAGGATATATAAATGGCCTGGTGGAGGGAACAATTGGCCTGATTCAAATGTTTGCATCCCTATTGAAAAGTTGAAATGACACCCCTGTTTCAAAGTCAACATAAATACTTTCTAAATTAAACTCATTATTATAAGTTAAACAATAGTTATCAATAATTCGAAAAATATCTGCATAAGATTCTTGTTTTTTGTCTTTGAGTAAAGTGAAAACTAAAGGTACATAATGATTGTTTTTTATTACATGAATTGTGAAAAATTGGTAAAAAAACTGTGTACAGTACGAAAATGTTCCATCAACGTAAAATGTAGTTGATTTACTTAAAAATTCTAAATTGTCTTCCGTGCTAAATAATAAAATCCCCTTTTCTGCATTATTAACTTGCAAAAATGTATTACCTTCATATGTTTTTACGTCCATATCTTTCAAAATATCATGCACCTCTTGTCTACTACGAGGCAAATTTGGTCGTAAAGATGCTCGAGCTTGAAATATATTGTGTTTTATATATGTTACATCTTTGGTTGTAATTGCATTTGTATTATTCTCCCGTAAATATGAATGTAATAACTTGGAAGGGCGTTCACACAAATTTTCAGTGGCCTTACGTTTCAAATTATTGCTTATTATTTGACGTTCAATTTTATTTTCTTCGTCCGCCTCATGTTTATGTTCTAGATTGGATGATGTCCACACGATATCTTCATTTTCCAATACTTTTAAATTGTCAGTGCATCCTCTTTTAGTACATTTATACCGATGTTGGCCATTTTGGAGGAGTTTATGAAAACTAAACTTGAATTTATGAACTATAAAAATTAATTTTCCTTTTTCACTTAGCATTTTCTGAACAGAATTCATTTTTACGCACTCGCGTTAACACAGCGTAGCTACTAATAAAGTATAATACCAACATTACTGTCGTGGTGATCAACTAAATAAAAGTAGTGTATTGTAGGAGTCGATGATAATCGATTATTGTAGTAGATTACGACGATTAAGAAGATAAGACTAAATCCAATAATATATAATATAATAGTGTAGGGATATCCAGCGATATACTATATTTGAGTTCAAACTGCCAACTACTGTCAGGTTGACTTCGTAAAAAGAAAACTTGTATAATATATGAACCCCTGGTTAAATAATAATATTTTACAGTTTAGGGAGCCAATTCAAATATACATTTTTCAGGAGCCAATTCAAGGGTCAAATTCATATTTACCCAAAATTGGGAGCCAATTCAATGGTAGCCGACTTGACATTTACACCAAATATTTACAACAGTATTTTCTAGATATTAAATAATTTAAATGATATTTAGATATTATATTTAATATATTTAAACAATATTGCCTATTTATACCACGAATCTTTTACCAGCGGTCTACACTTACTACGATAATTCGGTGTTGACTCAGAGCTTAATAACAATAATATAAGATATAAATATACAGGTAATAATGATTAATGATATGAAAAATACGATTATGTTTTAGGGAAAAACTAATTCAACCTAATGTATCTTTGCTAATAATAAAATAAATTATTATAATAACAATATAAAATTATAATAAAATATTTATTTATTGATTACATTTCATAACAATAATATAAAACATTTTACCGCTAAATTTTATATTATTATACTATAGGTACTTACCACGTACTATTCAATTGGTACTTAATTAGTAATAAGGCTGCACCGTCTCCGCTCTGAATCGTATGCAATCCCACACAGCAAGTTAATATTTTTTAAATGTTTACTTAAAATTGTAAATCCAATGTCAAATATTAACTAAAAATTGTAAATTAATGGATTTTTCATTGTTTTAAATTAATAAGATATTGCAGGTAAGTTAGTTGAACCAAATTGAAATGTTGAACACTAATTTAAAGTTAAATATTTTATAATTTAAAAATTTCAGCATTTATTAACCCGTTGAGTCGTGGTGGTACATAATTGAGACCACCTTTCTAATATTTTTTTGCTCGTTTCGTCGTAGTGGTATTTTATTGAAACCACCGTCAATCGGTGCAGTTGGTCACACTCTCAACGATCAAAAAAAAATTTTCCCTCCAACGTTAGTTGGCTGATAATAATTTCAGTTATTGTGTTATCAACGTTATTTATTTTTTTCGTCGTAAATTTTCGTAAACGATTTATTAATTAATAATACATTTTTTGATGGATTTTCTTCAACCAAGCATTTTTGTACTTGTAAGTATGTATATTAATTAATTTTATAATCGATTTGGCCGAATATGTATTAATTTTATATTATTTATTGAAAATGTAGGTGGTCTCAAAAAGATACCACTGCGATGGATCATAAATTAATAAACGTGGACCTACTTACACATGATGAACTGTTTGAACTATTTGAATCTATACCAAGTGATCAAGAATCAATCTTAGGAGATGAATCTGACTTCGAAGAGGACATTACAGATATTTTAGAGGTATTTTATATGTATTTTATGTTATAATTATATGATGTTAAAAATGTATATGTTTTTTTTATTAGGATAATGATATACAAGTGAGCTCCCCATTACATCAACCACAGCTTTTAGATTATATTTTAATTAATGTACCAAATGATGAACATATTACTCAAAATTCAATTTGTTTTTCAAATTCAACTGATATTGATGATGTAAGAAATCCATTTAAAAGGAAACAATTTATTTTTTATGTAAACTATTATACTATTATAGTATTTATAATGTTCTATTATTATAGGAGTCAAATGATGTTACTGTACAGGCAAGACGTGTAGAAGATGTACCTTTATCGGAAAGATTTCTAAACATAGAAGGGATTTGGGAAAATCATGGCTATATTGCTGAGCCTAAAAATTTCCTTGGTAAAGGTGGACCAAATATACCAAATGACATCGATGACCCTATAAGTTTTTTCCACTGCATTTTTACTAATGAATTAGTTGACCATTTAGTATTTCATACAAATTATTATGCTCAACAAAAACATACAACTTTTGAGCCTATCAATGCTGCTACTATGAAAACATTTTTGGCTATTAATATTGCAATGGGTATAAAAAATCTTCCATCTTATAAAGACTATTGGTCCTCTAACATACAACTAAGGGACAACTACATAGCATCTTTAATGCCATTAAAAAAATTTCAATGGTGTTTATCAAATTTACACATTAATGACAATAATTTGGAACCCCGTCGACATGAACAAAATTATGACAAGTTGTATAAAGTAAGGCCTTACCTTGATCATCTTTCCAAAACTTTTTTACAATGTATGAACCCAAATGAGTTTCAATCCATCGATGAAAGCATGATAAAGTTCAAGGGGCGCAGTACTATGAAACAATACATGCCAATGAAGCCCATAAAAAGAGGATACAAAATTTGGGTACGGGCTGATCAAACTGGGTTTATAAGTGAGTTTGAAATATACACTGGGAAAACAGATTCTGTTGAAAGTTCTTTGGGAAAACGTGTAATACTAACTCTTACCAATAAAATACAAGGAAAGTACCACAGAGTTTTTTTTGATAATTTTTTCACTTCTCTTGACCTCATGGAAGATTTGCTTAAAAATAAAGTTTATGGTTGTGGAACTGTGAGAGGTAATAGGAAAGGACTTCCTATAAACCAGTTGAATGATAAACAAATGAAAAGAGGTGATAGTGAGGGAAGAGTATCAACCACAAATGTGTCATGGATCAAATGGAAAGATAATCGTCCAATACAATTCCTCTCAAACTATCACGATCCAGATCACCTTACCAGTTGCTTGAGGAAAGCAAAAGATGGATCATCAGCAAGCATAACATGCCCTACAATGGTGAAGGATTACAATAAGAATATGGGATATGTTGATTATGCAGATATGATGAAATCATACTATGAGATTGATCGAAAGAGCCACAAGTGGTGGCATAGAATATTCTTTCACTTTTTAGATGTTGCTGTGACTAACTCTTATATATTATTTAAATTAAAATGTCAAGGGAGGAATATTCCTTTGAAGGATTTTAGACTTGCTGTAGTTGCTGGTTTAGTTGGAATTCCAACTACATCACCAAGAGGAAAACAAAAATCATTTAAAAATAAAACTAACAACTTCAAAGTTAGAATACCTCTAGAAATGCGTTTTGCAAATGTTGCACATATACCAAAAAGTTGTACAATCCGTCGATGCCATAACTGCTCTACCAAAGAAAACCCTAAAAGAAGTAGATGGGAATGTTCTACATGTAATGTAGCACTATGTTTAACTTCAGAGAAAAACTGTTTTGAAACATTTCATCAAAAACAATAATTTAATAATAATGTAATATAATATAATTGATTATCTAATAAAAAAACATTAGTAATTATAATTTGTTAATCCTAGGTTCGTAGTGGTTATATATAATGACCACCATTTTTTAGGTATTTGTGAGTTTTGAAAAAAAATTTTCAAATTTTTTTTATAATATGATAGTTTAGCACATTAAGGTTTTCAAAAAAAAAAGTAAGTTTTCAAACATTTTTTAAAAAGTTACTCAAGGGTTACCCATACATTAAATATTGTAGACTGATTTATAATATTTTAACTTATTTTTATTTAAAGTGATACTGTCGATTAGGGGAACATTGGCCCATTGGCCATTCGTTGGAAAGTGATTCATAACGTTATAACTGATAAACCAATAATCCAAAATCATTGTTTATAGACGATTGGATCTGCGCCGGGACAAATCCCAACGTTCCAAGTGCTTATCACGCATGCGCCATGATTTAACATTTTGACAACATAATTTCTTATCAACCATTTCTATACTTATCAGATTATAATAATAAAAACCATTTATTGGTCTATATTTTCCGCGCAATATTTGAAACATAGTATACTTTTTTTCATAGTCTAAATACTAAGCATTAGGATACATTAAGATAAGTATATGATACAACAAAATGTCAACAGATAGGTAATAAAATATGAAATTTATTAGTATTTGATATCTGTAGTTATTTATACATATATTTTGGTATTGGAAATGCCAAAATCTGTTTTCATCATAGTTTTGTTGTTGTTTATGAATCTGTTCTGACTGTTGAAAGTGTAAACTGTTTTAGCTGTAACAAAATGTTGTTTTTAAAAAATGTCTGTTAAATGTGAACTATGCAAAAATAATTATTCTTCTATGTCTAATTTAAATAAGCATAAGAAGAAAAAACATCTTGATATTTTATCTGAGGTATTTAATACATTTAGTTTATAATTTTTATCTCTTCATTTACATACACAAAAAAATAAACCCCATCATATTGAACATTTATTAATATTTTTTCACCACAGGTTATAGACAAAGTATGTTAACAATGTAACTACTGCAATGAAACTTTTAATTTAAAAAAAAAACTAGTTAAACACATTGATCTCCACATGAATCGCACTAAACTGCATACAAATATTATATGCCAATTTGATAATTGTAGTACAAAACTAAAAACTTTTAAATTGCTCATAAGTCACTTACAAACTGACCATAATCAGACAATGAAAGTAGAACTAATCAACTTTAATACTATGGAAGGTAAATATTAAAATTTTTAACAAAAAATTAGGTATATGTTTTAATTTATCTTAAGGTTCTTCATACTCAGGTCACACTTATCAGTGTTAAAATAATTATTTATACATTTATAATATATAATGTTTAGAGTTTTATGAATGGAAAAAACAAATAGAAGACAAAAATTGTAGTCAATATGTTATTACATCAAAAAAACAGCGCGGTAATGTAGAATATATATATTTTGATTGTCATAGATCTTATAATCCACGTCTTTTGAGCAAGGTAAGTTGTGTGTACATATTAATTTAT